CCACATTTCTGTTTAATTGCAGTTTTGTTTTTCTGAGCAAAAAATAAATATCTTACATTTTTCCCTAAGATTTACAGAAGAGACCCACTCATTCAGTGTAACAATCTTGTCAGGCATATTTACAACAAAAATCAATTTATGACATATTAAAAGACTAATTAGGTGTAATTTTACATTTTTTAAATGTGGCACTATCCTAGGTTTTGCCCATTTGTCAGTAAGAGTTTTTACTCATTTAAAACACAATAAAATCTAATATGCTCCCTTATTCTTTTATATATTTTAATATGTACACGTCAGAATAAGCATGTTGTTTGAATTTTTACGTAAATATTGTGTTACACTGAAGGACAATGTAACATTATTTCAACCAAATTGACATTTTATTCTTCAAAAACTTAGCCTTCAAAACTTACATTTAATGTGCTTTCTATGGATATAAAATCACTTTTGTAAATTTTTTTTGATGCGGATATCTTAATGTCTTTGACCTATATAAACAGAATAACTTGTTTTTTCCCCAAAATATATTTATTGGCAAAACGTAAACACAGACACTCACAGAGGCACATTAGAGTGCATCCTCAACCAAACTAGAACATAAAATAAACAAATTATACATGTTCGTACATCAAAGTTCAGTGTTTTTTTTTATTGGTGCACATACAGTAAGGGTACATTTTGTATGTATTTTGCTAACAGAAGAGCTGTAAGCTTACTGTCAGATAGCCGGTGTATGCATGTGCTGGAGCTGGAAGAACTAAAACACAAACATCCTGTACCTGTGCAGGCTCAACACTGACATTATTTACCCTTTATAATTACATGACTTTGTAGTAGAAATCTTGTGAGCTCACACCAGAATTTTCTTATTACTAGCCTTACAAAAAAGATTGTTGACCCAGAAATGAAAATCATCATTTATTTTTTATTATAAAAGAGCACTGAGAACATTCTGCTAAATATTGTGTTGTTGTTGTTGTTCAGTGGAGGAAGGAATGTCATACATATTTAGAGTACATGAAGTAGAGTAAGTGATAAAAGAGTTGTAGTTTTTCAGTGAACTATCCCTTTAAGTCTGGAGTGTTTGGGAAGAGGCTGAGTTCACTACCAGTGAGAGTTACACACATGAGATCTGTATGGTCCAGGTGAGAGCTTTTCCAGAGAGTTGGAGAGAAAGCTCTTATTATCTGCATCCTGAAAGAGATAAAGAACTGGCTTGACCTCTTGATCCTTCCCATTTACTTCTTGTTTAGTCTCTTTTCTTGCTCTTGGTTGCTCGCTAGAGGAGTGAAGCCCAGCAGCAGATATCATGTTGCTTTTCATTCCAGCTTGAGCTGATGTGATATCTCAGTGATACTGTGTTACCCAGAATCCTCCCAGCAGAGATGAGGCAAGGAATCTGAGCAACCTTGTATTGATTTAGTCTTAACTAGACACATTGTGTCTTCTTGCAAGAATTAGTGTAATTTAGCAGTCTGCCTAAGACTGTAGTCGCTACTGAAATTCTAGTTTCTCTGCCAGTGTTATACAAATACAGAGTATATAAGTGAAGTGCAGTTTTCAGTTTTATTGCTATATTACTCTATTTTTTTATTAGTTTTTTTTTTATTGAAAAATTACGTTTTTTCTTTTAACAAAACCGTTTCACTTATTCATTATTTCAGTCGAGGAGAGGCATAGATCGCACACTTTATCAACTGAATTTATAAGGTAAAAGCAAAGCATAGAGTGATAATGGAAATGCCATTCAAGGAGGTGTTTCTAGTTACGCCGCCTTTTTTCTTTGCGTGAACATTTGGGCGGTGTTATGCAAATCTTCCCACATAGTGAGGTAGATATGTGGGGGCGTGTTCGAACGAGCCGTTTTAGGGGGGTGTGACTGACTCTGAACTTTTATAAAGAATATCTCTTTGGTTTTGAGACTTTAGTCTTTGCAACTTTACAGATCTTCTTTATGCACCAAGAGCTTGTAACACTCCAAAGAGAAAGAAAAATTTGAAATCGCATCATATGACCCCTTTAAGGCAGTACATTTGTCTCTTTGTCTTAAGCATGTCTCAGAATGATTGGGAGCTGGCGTGAGTTTTCACTCACGCTTATT